TTGAATTATAATTAAATATATTATAAATCCTCAAACCCTTTGATAATAATTATATTATGAAGGTTTGATTTCTTTTTCTTACCATCTTATTTTTTTGTTCTATTTCAAACTTTTTAAAGAACTAAATCCATAAAATTCGTAATAGATATTCAAATTTAATTTTGTTTTAAAATAATCCCATTCAATATTTTATTAATTACGCTTTAAAGAAACACAAACAATCGAAGCAAATAAGTGGAAATTAAAAATCTTCTGGAGTCACCACTACTTTTAACATTTAATTTGTTCAATTTCTTTTTTATGCTTTTAAGGTTTCCATGTTATGGCGTCAATTTGACTTATTATCCATACGTGAGTCTCAACTCACTCTTAAATAAGCTCTTGTTTTATTATCTCACTAAATAAGTTGACTAAAAAACTCTATTCTCTCATCTCTAAATGTGATTAAAATCATGGTCAAAGTACGTTTAATCTTATTATAGACTTTAGTTAATTTATAAAAAAAATATCTTAAACTGAAAATTAATCCCTCGATATTTTAAATTAAGTATAATTTGGTTCTTAATTTTTACTATTTATGAACGAAGAATGCAAGCTAAATAAGCTAACTATATATATGTAGGGATGGGAACAAGTGTTAAATGCTTGAAAATCACTTCTTAGGATACAGTGTAAAATGGTTGGACAAGGGTTTGATGCACATGCAGTGCTATATGGAGTGTTTGATTGAATTTAGAATAAACATCATGAATGATTTATTAATTCTAAGCAGCATCCATGGTAGAGAACAATAAAATGAAATGAAATGACTTTATTATGCGTACCAACTATCAATTTCAATTACATTTAAAAACATAAAATTTAAAAAAACAACATTATTTAATATTAAAAAATAAGTTAAATCAATAAATTAATAATATTTTAGAAAATAAAATTAAAAAAGGGCATGTGTTATCATCTTTCTTATGCAAAAATTTATGAAAAATGAAACTAGTTATGGAGGGAGCATTGGGGACAATAACTCTGTTATTCCATGTGCCTTGTTATATATATTTTTTGTCGCTTATAACAAATTATTTTATTTGAATATCAGTTTAACAGTTAGCAAACAACCTCATACTAGTAAAACGACGATGTTTTTCTACTTTCTTCTCTCTTTTCCACTGCAACTGTTATTTATTTATTTATTTTCATTTTTTGAAAATAAGTTTATTCTAGATGTCAAAATTGTTAATAAAGTATTATTTTATTAAAAAATATTTATCTTCTTAAATGAATTAAACATACCTACAACATCACCATTAACCTTAGAATATGCTAGTAAAAAAAAAAAAAACTTAAAAAATGCATAGTTGTCATAGTAGTGATCGTTTTCATGCATGTACTACTAATGAAAGAAGCTATTTACGAATTCTAGAATATTTTTATGAGAACTTCCACCACTTTTAACAGCCTTCACAGCTAAAGTCCTCCATTGATTGGCATTGTTTTTCAACTCATTTCCTTTCTCATTCTCCATTATTTCTCTTATGCAATGCTTCAGAGCTTCTCTTCGCACAACCTTTTTTTCATCAAAGGGAGCCCTAATTCCCATCTTCCAAACATCTTCCATAAGTTTTGCATTCGTGCTTTGATCTGACCAAAATGGTATTGCAATTGTTGGCACTCCTAAGCACAAAGTTTCTAACGTCGAATTCCAACCACAATGTGTCACAAAACATCCTATAGCCTCATGAGCCAGGACTTTTAGCTGGGAGCACCATGTCACTACAAAACCCTTTTCCGTTTTCTTCTCAAAACCTTTTGGGAGATTGGCCTCTTCTGACTTTCTAACCACCCACAGAAAGTAATGTGAACACTCTTTCAAACAACAAGCTATTTCTTCCATTTGCTCCTTCTCAAAGCTTGCAATACTCCCAAATGATACATAAACAACAGAATCTTTTGGCTTATCATCTAACCATTCTATGCATTCATCCCTCTTCAATTCTGTCACCCCATAATCTTGATCTTCTTCATATTGTTCGTCTAAGAAGAAAGATGGTATATTTGGTCCAATACACCTAAATTTAGGCCAAATCTCCTTGAATCCATCTACAATCTAAATAAAAGATCTGGTTAAAACAATATTCATGCCAAAAATTTTACAAAAAGAAAGGTTAAAATTTTAATAGCTGCCACCATTTAAGTTTTACTTCAATCAAATTAACAGTGCTAATCCTATATATATATATATTGTTACCGACATTAGTAATGCCATTATCAAAGCAGCTTTAAAAACTTCCTGGAATAGTTGAATTATTACAATCACTTTCTGAGAATAACAATGTAAAACAAAATCGCGTCCTCTTTTTCTAACAATTTATGGTTCACCAAAAACAAATTGTAATCATTTAAGGGTCATGAATTCTTGTAAAACTCTCAACAACATCGTATCACCCACGCCTAAAACAACCTTTTATCCATGTACAGAAACAAAGATTTATAGTTTTCTAGTAGAAGCAGTAAAAGTTAAAATGGAAATAACCTCGGGAACCAAGTAAAAACCAAGGTATATTAATCTTATAAAATTGGTCTAACAATACTTATAATTTTATCTTGTTTTTAACAATCTCCAACACATATCTTAATACTAATGACATTGAGGACGAGAATCAAGAAGAACCCGATTTATGGTGGATAGGATAAATTCATATTTCGGTTATGATAAACTCTTGTATCTTTTATATCATATTAAGGTAGTGAGTATGTTCTTCGTGTAATGAGAATGATAGAGGTACAAAATTGACTAAAAATAAAACTGCATTACAATATAGTGTAGCCAAATTATTTATCACCAAATCAATTTTATAAAGTTTTAGAGGGTCGAATTAATTTTAAACTCACAATACTTCATATTTTTGATATTATTATTTTAACATCCAACAAATTTTTGTATATATTTAATTTTCATTATTTAATTTTTTAATTTTTCTCTTTCTTTATTAATACAAAAGTTAACATTTTTAGTGACCAAACTGTCTCTGATCAAGTGGTGCATCTAGTTTTAGAGATATCTTGTATTTGTAAAACAAGAGAGAGATATCTTGTATTTTTAGTGACCAAACTATCCTTTAACAAGAAATTTTTATTAGTACAATTATATCTTAATACAAATTTCCTTACGATATTTTAATATAATATACTTGTTATCTTTTCATTGAATTTAAAATATGTTAATATAGTAACACTTAAATAATGAATCAATTAAACAAAATAACACTTAGTTATCATTTCATTGAATTTAAAATACGTTAATACATTAATGAATCAATTAAAAAAAGAATACGTGTGATATAAAAATATTATTTAAAAATCTGTTTCAGAATATTATTTTCGTTTCTATTATAAGCATTTAATACTGTCCTGTCTTTTTCTTTTTTCTTTTTTACTTTTAAGTAGAATAATTAAGTTTTTGTTACAATGATTTTATTCTTATAAAAGTATCCTTTCCGAAGTGAAAATAATAGTACCTTAACATTCATACCTCTTTATCCATGTCGTATAATGTGTTGCAGAGGATCCAATCAGCTTTGTCGATGTTGGAGAACTGGTCCATAAGAAAAGGAAGCAGAAATGGTTGTTTTTCGTAAGTAAGGAAAAATGTAGGCAAGTCCTGAGGTTGAAGTTTAGGCAAGGTGGGAAGGGAAATTTCATCTTGTTTGAGTGGAACCTGCAACTTTCCCATTTGAGCATGATAGTATATACTATTCACAGTCATGTTTTGAGTGAGATAAGAAGCACTAACTATCCCAAATCTCTTTGCAACATCCAATGCCCAAGGGAAGAATGAATCATAGATAACACAATCAACACGATCATCTTCTGATCTTCCAAGTTTCTCAAGAAGCTCAGCAAAGGTGAGTGACCCAACTTCACAAAATTTCTCTGTGTATTCTTTGAGGCTGGCAGCACCTGTATAGCCAACTTCATCAAACCCATCAGAAATGGTTTCCAGTGTAATGGGAGGAGGCACTTTCTGCACAATATTCGCGTAGAAAATAGTTGTCACAAACGTTACTCTCACTCCTTCACGAAGCAACAGCTTCGACAACTGCAGCATAGGGTTGATATGGCCATATGCAGGGTATGCTAACACCAAGCAATGTGCTCTTCTTGTTGCTATATTTTTCTTCTCCATTATTTCTCTCTCTCTCTCTCTCTCTCTCTCTCTCTCTCTCTCTCTCTCTCTCTCTCTCTCTCTGATGTGTGGATATGAAAGGGGTTCCTTTATACATGATAAGATAAGATTTCTGCCTTCCATTATCCGTGCAACCAATAATGCTATTGTTTACTGTGATTAGGGTTCTTCCAATTCAACTCATTACTGTTCAAAACATCATCATTTACACTAATTTTAATTTTGGTATTTTAAATTATATTACAATTCATGTATTTTAAAGATACAAGAGAGATAATATTAAAATATTTTAAAAAAAGTTTAACTTTGGTTTCACACCGGCATTTTGTATTGGGTTATTTTATAATAATATTTTATTTATATTTATTATTATTATTATTATTTTAATATATATTTTAAATATTATAAAAAGTAGTTGTGTTGTTATAATTATAATGAAGTTGGGTTCGGTGAAAAGTTTTCAATTTTACATATTTTCTCTTTAATTAGGTGAGGATCTTGGATTCCACAAATACATTTGCATCTTGAAATGTGTACATGACAGTGATTAGTTTGGCTCATTTACATGTCCTTTTCGAAGTTGAGAAGGTTCTGTTCAACTGCTTCCTATTTTATATATACATACATATATATATATATATATATATATATATATATATATATATATATATATATATATATATATATATATATATATATATTATATGTTCAATTACAATAGTCATAACCAATGTTAATGAATTATTAATTAAATAATAAAATGACGACATGTTGTTCTTGACTTCCAAGTAAATATATGATTCTTAGACCAATTCATTTATCTATTATTCATTGAGCCCTATCTGCCCATCTGCTAGTAAATTTATTAAATTTATTTATTACAATGTTTAGAAAAAAGGGGTCATATTAAATATATATATATTGTTTTAATATTTATATGTGGCATTTATCATGAGTGTCTGTATTTTCAAATGGACATTTTTCGCTATTTTAGCTCTATAGTTTAATTAGACAATAAATTCTCGCATAATATTTATGTTCATTTGTTTATTTATGTTTGCTGATGAGTCGGTGAACATTGTTGATACGTATTATACACATTTCTTATGATTTTGACAAAACAATTATTTTAAAGAGTTGGGACCAAACAATAAATGTATTGTGACTTGTACTACAACTAAACCTTTAATTGCTCACTGCTAGCATGTTTGACTATGTATAAAAGGTTTAAATATTATTTTAGTCTTTACTTTTATTTATTTTATTCAATATATTTTTTCATATGTTTAATATAATTTTATTTTAATAATTCTTTTTAATTTGGTGATGTTTTATGATTGTTTAAATCTTTAATGAAAAATAAACAATGTATGTTACAGTTTGCAGTTTTTTAATTTTTTAATTAAAAATATTTACAAATTTTAAAAAATTTTAAAAACTATAAATTAATATGTGATATATTATTTTTTTTTGTTATCAATTTAAATAATAAAAAATAAAATTAAATAAAATTTATGAAAATAAAAACCATATTAAACGTTCAGAAAAAATAGTCTCACTTTAACAAATTATGTAAAAATAAAGACATAGGATAAGAAATCACACAAAAAAAAAGGACTTTAACATCGCTGTTTAGACGTCTAATCTTTAAAAATCTAAAGTAAAAAAAGATAATCTTTAAATATCTAAAGTAAAAAAAGATAATCAATAACATTTTGTAATTAAAAAGAGGATTTAGACGTTTCGATAAAAAGAGACGACTCCGGATGAAAAAAAATACGTAAAAATAAAAATATGAATTTTTTATTCCTATTAGAGATAGATAACCAATAAATATTTACGTAAATTTTAGTTAGAAGACATAAATAACCAATAAAGCATTAAAAAGTAAAAATATAAAATAGAATACACACAAAGCTTCCTCTGCTTCCATATTTTAGCCTTTAATTGTTGACTTCGTATTTGTTTCAAAAGTCATTTCTTACATAGATAGATGATGTCTTTATGAAATGTTTTCAATAAATATCTGTACCTACAATTTTGAAACTACTCCAATAATACAACTCTAGTGA